GATCTCAAATGCCTTCTCTCTTCTTTTTTTTCTAAAAGCACAAATAGTATATGTAAATAGTAGTAATATTTTAAATATTTCTATTATTCCAACATACAATTTTTTATTTAACTTACGTTTACTTTGGCTTTTCTGTTGATCTGTTTCGTCATCTTTCAAAAAAGATGAAGATATCTGTTAAAAATGTTACAATAAAAAAATTGAATTAATCAGCGTTTTTAATCAAATAAAAATTGTCGTACATTGTAATACCTTGTATGTAACTGTTCCTGTCACAATTAAGGCAGCAATTAAGTGCCAGTAGCTAAATTGATATTTTCCATTTTTTCTAAAATCTGAGCCTTTTTCGTTCGGTTGAATCTGTTTGTTGCTTGGTTTACATCTTTCTTGCGGTACAGGACAAGGCGCTCCAGTTTCACAAACAGGAATTTTTTGTGATTTGAGATATTTAGATTCAGACACACATTCTTCTGGCTTGACAGTAGTACCTGATGGCTTGTGTGACTTTTTATTGCTTGCATCGCTATTGTGGCGTAAGTTATTAATATTTACAATTCCTGTAATATTTTTGTAAGTTATCAACAGATATTATAAACAAGGGAGCATTCTCGAAGAGTTCTTGATAATATATTTTATATAACATTTTATTGCATTAATCATATTATCATGTTCAGCCAGCTACTTTTAGTCAGTAAAAAGATGTTATCTCTGATTCAAAAAGATAACATCACTTTACTAGTAAAAAAATAGTAGCACAGTAATACAAATGATACAATGAAAAACTAGATACATAAAATGTATTACATTTTGAAATTACATTTTAAATAACAATATGAAAAAAGAGATAAAAAAAAACATTTATTACAATTTTTTCAAAAAACGCGAGAATATCTTTACATTTCAAATTATTAATAATGTAACATAATACAACTTTACAAAACTAAAAAAAAGTGTCTCCAGGTTAGGTTATTCGCTAGCTATTTGAGACCAAATAAGCCGTATGGAAGAGAGAGATTGTAAACACAGTCCCGTTAATCCAAACCGTACAATTATCGCTCGGAAGGTTATGCAACCAGAATATTATGCAAAAAAAAAATGAAAAAACGTAAAACAAGCGAGGAAACAAGAGCACTTTTTTCAAATCAATATCCCGAGCAGGCATGAATCAGTATGAGAAAAGGGCAGAAAAAGAGAGAATTCGCTGAGATAACTAAACTCACCGGTGTATTTTACAGATCGATACACGTGATTCACATGTGTGAACCTGACAGGCAATTGGCCGACGATTCTACCGCAGACAAACATCTTCGCCGAGCCGGTTGTCTTTATGCAATATGGTGGGCGCTCGTCGTGTTTTCCACTCAGCTGCTGCAATGTGCAGCAATCAACCGCTGGCTGTTGCCGCCGCTTTTACTCTGGACCGGAAGGATGCTCGCCGGAAGGATGCTCGCTGCGCGACACGCCATTACCTGGATTCTCACCTCCTTTCCCAAAGTCGCACCAAATCGCGAAAAAACGATTCTCTACTCGTAGTGACGGGAATGAACGCTTCACGATGTGCGCGTATGTACACCAAACACACGATAAACCGCTACAAATTGCTTAGCGGGACGCGGGACCGTTTTTTGCCTCTTTTTTGCTCTTTTCGCATTCGCGCCGTTTCAAAGGCAATTTCAGAAGTGCGTTCCAAAACTCGACTATGTCAATCCGGACTGCGTTCGGAAATATCGCCCAAGTGTCCTCATATATCAATTGGCTGCGTTCAGCAGACTCAACAGTTGAGTGAGCGCTCGCTGCTATTGATGTATTCTTCTAGATCTAAAATTCTAATTGGATGAAAATTCTAAAAAAATACATCAATAATAGCGAACGCTCACTCAACTGTTAAGTTCGCTGAATGCGCCCATTTTATTTTTATAGCCTTAAACACAATGCGAGGCAATAGCGATAGAAATAGCGATAGTAATAGCAATAGCGAATAGAGGATAGGAATAGAGAAATCCAACATATGGCTTCTGCACATTGAATGCGGAAACGTTCATCGTGTAGTAAAAATATGAAATCGCGTAGTAGCCAATAAGATTATAGTTCCTAATGTGTTCATTGATTACTGCGTCTTGTTTTTCCAGTGTGCAGAAGCCAATACGGGAATACATATGTCAATGCATATAGAAACACGGAATAAGGCGATAAATTTCCGACGAGTTGGAATTCTGTGTCTATCGTCTTATAGCTTACCAATCAGCGTTCAGGGCCTCTATTATTAGAAAATATCGTATATGAAAAACTAAAGAAATTCTATAGTATGCGTTGCATATACTATAGCTTTCCTTAATTAGCGATACTTTTGAAGAATAGGAATCCAAGGGATCGATCTTGAAATGAGGTAAAAATTATAAAAGTGAATGAATTTACTAGAATACTGATTATTTTATTGGTCATTACTTAGTAAATTTGCTCACTTTTGTAATTTTTATCTTATTTGAAGATACAGAATTGATCCCCAGATTTTTCATTCTACAATATTTATCTGTGCTATAACCTTGAAGCAGATAAAAGAATATATTACAATCTATCAGATTGGTTGGCATTTTTATTTCTTTAGCGGCATTGTGCAACGAGAGACGATAATTATACAATATATCGCTTATTTCTATAACATTCCTATTACTATTCTTATCGCTGTTGCCTCGCATTGTTTAGGGCTTAAGCTAGTCACACACACTTTCCTAAGTCCGGATCTACAATAGATGTTTTAAGCTTCAAACGCGAGGAGAATAATTGATTGTGATTCGTCCATTCCTTATGGTTTAAGGCTTAAAAATCTATTGTAGATCCGGGCAAACATAACCGTAAACATAACATAGATTTTCGACCAATCGCGTTACTCGGTTCGGTCGTCCGTAACAGTAACAATCAAGCAACGATTGGTCGAAAAGTTTAGGGTAAAATTACACGGTGTGGAAAACGACTGAGGAATAGAGAATGCATCATAGAAGCAACCAATCGAAGAAGCGTTCTTCTGCGTTATTCCGAATAGTGCTAATTGGTTGACGCATTCTCTTTCCTTTTTATTCCGTAGCCTTTTCCGCATCATGTGATTTCACCCTTACTAGCAGAAGCTCCGCACAATAAAAGGAACAGAGAACAGAGCATAAGAATTTCAACCTATCAGAAATCATGTATTGTGGAATACACAGTTTCTAATAGGTTGAAATTCTTATTCTCTGTTCCCTGTTCCTTTTATTGTGTGGAGCCTCTTAATATTTTCTTATAGTGTTTTCTCTTGGGATACACTGGGTACAGCTTCAGGATCTGATCACAAGAATTGTCGTAACACTTACTTAGACTTAAATTGTAGACGTAAGTAACGCACAAGCTTTCGTATGACGTACAACTTATTGCCGTGTCTCCAAAAGACAAAGCTTGCGCGTTAGGGTATGAGCACAAGAATTTTATTGTACTTAGAAACTTAAGTTGTAGACGTAAGTGGGGATGCAGCCTAAGAATGAAATCACATGGTGCGGAAAACGACTGCGGAATAGAAAATGCGTCATAGAAGTAACCAATCAGCGTTCTTCTACATTATTGCGAATAGTGCTACACTCAGCTACGCTACACTAGAGTGGTGTATACTATTGTACATCATTATTGCGCTAAAACCCTATTCCCGCTTGACTTGCATTTTCAAATTTTAAATGACACACTGGCTCTACACCGTCCCTTTGAGATGGTGTAGTAAAATCCCACTTCGTGCATAAAATTTGCACTACACTGTTGCCATGGAAACACGGTACACCGAGCGAGTTCTTCGTTTACCACTAGCTATGGAAACACAAGGTCTGTTTTTTATTGCTGCACTTTCTAAACTGGTAAACACAGTGTAATAAGTTGAAGTGAAATAAATATACATTTGTTTCACTTCATCTTATTGCACTAGTTCTGAGTTGTTTTGAAACTGTTGTTTCTAGTTATAGGTTATAGTCATTACATATTATTATTCGTATTATTATTATCTATGTTCGCAATGCAAGATCTTTGCAAGAATTCAAAATGCAAGATACACAATTATTTTTATTTTTCATTCGACCTTGCACTTCCTTGCATTCCTGTGATTAAGGTACATGCTATTTTCAATTTTTTTGAAGAAAGCAAGCAGAAAAAAAAGGACAAAATATAACAAATCCAAACAAAATAAGTTTATATTGTCTTTCATTTTAAGAACTGAGACTACAAATGGCAGTTGAGGGAAATATAATATATGTTATTAGAATATATTAGTTTACTCTAACATTATGTCATTATTAATCTTATTAATAATTTTGTTATATTCATTATGAATCTTAATATAATATTACACATTTTTTATAAATTTATTATTATATTACAAATTTATTTTTATCTCAGCTTTATAAATATTATAGTTTTATCATCGAGTCATTCTGTCACATAAATTTTATATAATTCTATCTAAAAACTATTTATATGTGAATCAATTTGCAGATTATAGCAATAAGATGTTTTAACAAAATATATTTTTGTTTTTTTTGTGATCCTTTCGGCTAATTCTACAATGTGTTTTTTGTTTTCTGTATCTTGCTATTTGTCTCTTGTTTTATTGACCAAAAAGAGACAAACAACAAGAAACAGGAAAAGAAACAAACAACAAGAAACAGGAAACAAAGAGCACATTGTAGAATTAGTCTTCCAGCAAAGAGACACAGTGATCATTTCATCTTTTTTTAATATTAACAAATAACAAGAATGTAATAATTGACTATGCTATACTCTCATCTGTTTCTCTTGCTAGAAAGCAATCATAATTGCTCTAGTAAGATCCTATGATGTAACAAGATATATTATATATTATATATTTTGACTGCAACTTTCATTTCAGGTGGCATGACATAAGATAAGGAGAAAGAATAACTAATAAGAAAATTTTGTTGAGTGAATTTTAAAAACTACAACTATTGTGCATACAAAATAAAAGTGATTTGCAGTTACAGTTTAAATTAGTTTATTTACGCAAAGATGGAGAAGAAAGAAAAAAATTTTTCTTTGAAGCAATCACAGACATTGCAAGACAAGAATGATAAGAATACTGATCTGTCTAATATTTCAATGTTGTTCGAAAAGCATTTTGCTATCTCAAATGTGCAACAAGATACACAAATGTATGTATTACCTGAGGTAGGTTCTATGTTTACAGAACCACCATGGCGGCTGAACAAATTGCAAAAGATAAAAAGAGATCTGAATGAAGTGAAGGGTCGTCTGAACAATTTTAATCTCAGTAAGTGGCAGCAACACACAAATCGGATGAATGAAGCAGGCGAAATTATACCCATGGTAAGAGAAAAAATACAGGCAGAACTTGTGACTCAAGCCTGGTGCAAGTTCTATGAAATTGCTAGCAATTTTTCTCTGGTGCCGTTGAATGAAATTTATGAAGTGGATGGTAAAAATTTCAAGTCCGTTCATCTTTGCGAAGCGCCAGGTGCGTTCGTGACTGCTCTGAATCACTGGCTGAAGACGAATGCATCTGATGTTCAGTGGAATTGGCTAGCCACCACTTTGAATCCTTACTGTGAAGGAAATTCGTATGATAATATGATCGCAGACGATAGATTTATTAGACACACTCTGAAACATTGGTGCTTTGGTGCTGATAACACGGGCGACATTATGAACCTGAAAAACTTGGATACTCTGATGAAGAAATCCGAATCCCTGGATAGTAAGGGACGGATTCTGCTGGTTACTGCGGATGGCAGCATAGATTGTATGAATATGCCTGGAGAGCAGGAGACCGTTGTGGCACAATTGCACTTGTGTGAAACGGTGGCCTGCTTGCATCTTCTGCAAAAAGGTGGTAACTTTTTGCTGAAGCTGTTCACTCTGTTTGAGCACCAGTCTGTGTGTCTGATGTATCTATTGTCTTGCACCTTCCAACAGGTTAACGTAACGAAACCAGCAAGCAGCAAAGGAGGAAACTCAGAAATGTATGTTGTTTGTATGAATTTCAAGGGCAAAGATTACATAGCACCATATTTACGTACACTTAAATATTATTACGGCAATGTGCCACCTGCGAATGCGATGTTTAACCTGCGGGATATTCCGGATGGTTTTTTATGGAAGATTGAACAATGCTGCAAATTTTTCAAGTTTCATCAGTGCAAGATCATAGAAGATAACATAAGAACATTTCACAAAAGAGATAACTTTTATAATCTTTCGACATCATTTGTCAAACGAATGATCGGTATCAAATATCTCGAAGACTATAGATTAAGAAAAATAGATCCTGCGGATAAAATAGTCGGCCGGGAGATAATTGAAAAAAACAATCAATTTATGAATAAAAAATTGCACGTTGATTCGTACAATGAGCGTTGCAAGAGTCAAGACTTAGAGCCGCAAGAGCGTTTGTTGCAAGTATGGAATAACACGAAAGAGATTGAATGGCCGTCAGAAAAATTTTACGTTGTAAGCAAATTTTTCAATTATGTTTCTAAAATGTCTTTATAAGATATAAAAAATATATATATCGTGTAGCTTTTACGATTTAAGAAATTTCGATTCTCGTAAAATTCTATTGTATTCGAGATTGACAAATTAAAGTTAAAAAAAGATTAACAAAATATTTTAATTTATAGTAATGCTTTACGCGCGCGCGCGCGAAGTAAATTATTCACAAAAGTTTGTATATTACTGCAATTACAAAAAAATTTTTTTATTCATTGTCAGATGTGTGTACATACATCTGAGAAAAAAATCATGAATATACATCATTTACAACATGGTTATTTTACATTTGTAGTGGCATCTACAAGCATTACCAGAAGCTTTAGAGATACAAACGGGAAAGTTGTTTAACAAAATATGTAGTTCACGCTTTTGCGATTCAAAAATTGTGCAAATATTGGACAAAATTGATGACGTAATGCAAGATATGCACACCACCGTCTGTTTTCCACCAACAGAAATTACGACAGAATTTGTATCACAAATTGATTCAAGCTACGAGATATTAAGCTTCCAATTCGTTCAAAATTACAACAGTCATCAGATAATTGCCGAAATTTATGATCGATTAGAGAAGCTCGAATCAGAGAAAACACTTATTTTAGTCGGTTACTCTTTGTTAACGCAGTTAAATATTGGTCTTCTATATCTTTTAGGAAATTCCTTTAATAAGATTATAGTTGAGATTCATGATAATGAAGGCTATCGACTTAAATTGGAGAACTATCGGCGGAATGAGAAAGTATTGGGATATTTAGATGAAATTCTGGTTGCATCACATAGTGCATGTAAACAAAATATGGCAGTTTGGTCGATAATACCTATAACAGTTTTATATGGTAAGATTTATGAATATGCATGTATGAACAAAAAAGATATTGTTTTTATCCATTTTGATAACATATTTTGCACAATTATATCATTAAATTATATACAAAATATTTGGTAATAGGTATATTTTGATCAACACAAAAGAATATTTCTTATTAAAAATTAAAATAATTTTTTTTCTTTATTTGCATACACATTGATATACACACAATTTCTTTTAATAGATTGATATATACGTATATTAGGGTGGTTGTTATTTTAACAATTTTTGAAATTTAGTCGGGACACTCCCTAAAGTAATTTAATATCTCAAAAAATAACACCAAATTTTTTAAGCAATTTTAACTCGTATCACCGGGGGGTAGGGTAGGGCGGAAAAATATCTTTTGGGCAAAATTCGGCCGATACTTATAATTTTTAATCAATTTTAAAGTTTTTTTTAATTTGCTCAAAATTGAATGAGTTAAAAAATCTATTTTGCGTAAATTTTGATTATGATTCAAAGTAAAAATTGCTGATCCAATGAAGTGAACAGAAAAAAATCAAAATTACATGATAACGAATATTGGATTGGATCAGAATGGAATCAAAAAGGCATTCCAAAGGATGCGTAATAGACAGTGATATGCCCTTGGATATGCCTTTTAGCGTTTGGTTAATTAAAATTCGCCACCTTCTTTCCCCATGCGCAATGCTTCATCTTTCTGATTCCATCATGGGGTCGACAATTTTTAATTTGAACCGTAATTAAAATGGCTTATAGCTCATTCAATTTCAAGCAAATTAAAAAAAATTTTTAAATTGGTTAAAAATTAGAGTGTCAAATTTTTCTGTCTATTATACGGGTCCTTGAAATTTAATATTGCTTTTAAACGGGAATTTTTTATTGTCTTGATAGCTGATAGCTATCAATATTCCTGTAAACTTCATGAAAATAAAGTTTTCAGAGAATTTACAGCATTATAAGGGAACTCATTACGTTGACAACTATCTGAATAAAAAATACATAATATATTAAGGTAATTATACAGAATAGGATCTTTCCCGATTTTCAACTACAATGTTGATTATAATCTTTGTTATGACTCAAATAGTGATAATATGTCGGGGGAAATCAAAAAATAAAAAAAAATTTCTTTGAAAACATTACATATAGTAATGTATAGGGCACGACTTTCCACGCAAAGTGGACTTTCCGCCCATCTCCTCCCCTACTTAGGGGCGCATGGCTTCCACGCGAAGTGACTTCCACCCCATCTCCCATCTCCCTTCTCCCTGCTTGGGAACGCACGAGAAGTGACTTTGGGGGGGAGATAAGGTAGAATAAATAGTTTAAAGAATAGGTAGACTATATATTTTTCAACCTCCCCCAATTTATTATCACTATTTGAGTCATAACAAAGATATTTATTATCAACATTGCAGCCGAAAAATGTCAAAATTTGGAAGAAGTCTTATTCTGCAAATTCCAGTATAAATTCCAGGATCAAAGGATATTTAAGGACCGCTGAATACTATGTTAAGCAAATTTCAATATTCTTACTATTTTTCAAGGTGCTTCTCAAGTGAACTTTTTAATAATTTTATCATATTCAAATCAAAATCTATAATACAAAAAATTTCTTTTACTTACATTCTTTTAGGCAAAAGGACTCTTTTTAATATCCTCTAAAGAGGGCAGATTTTTGTCCCAAAAAAATGTAAGTAAAAAAATAACGTTTTTTTTTTAATTTTGATCTGAATATAATAAAATTATTAAAAATTAAAAGGTTCGTGGCATTTAGGGAACACCTTAAAAAGTAAACAAAAATATCGAAATTTGTTTAAATATATCACGTTCATGATATATTTCAATTTTCAAGGTGTTCCCTATCGGTTCCGAACTTTTTATTAATATTATCATATTCAAGAGATTGAAATCTAGAAAAAACGCTATTCTTTTTACTTTCACTTTTGTGAGCAAAAATCGGCCTTTTTTAACAACCTTTATTTTCATAAAGTTTGCAGGCATATTGATAGTTATTAGCTGTCAAAAGACTATTTAAAAAAAAATTTCCATTTAGAAGCCATATTAAATTTCAAGATCTTGCATAGTGAGCGGAAAAATTCGGCCGATGCTCTAATTCTTAAGTGATTTTAAGGTTTTTTTTTAATTAGATCGGAATTGAATGAGCTATAAGCCCATTTTGTATAAATTTGATTACGGTTAAAATTAAAAATTGCCGATTCTGTATTCGTTATCATAATTTTAGTTTTTTGTATTTACTTCATTGGATCAGAAATTTTTACTTTATTATAATTTTTAATATATTCCTTTTATTTACATCTTTTTGGATAAAAATTAGTCTTTTTTTTAACATCCTTCTTTGAATTGAATATCTACTGCCCATATTCATAGTCAGGCCTTATATTTAAGGCTTCCTTAAATTTATTTATTTCAGATGCCTCACGAATTATTTTATTGATTACTGCATTTAAAGATAAAGAGTATAGCGGAATAAGCATATGAAATTGGCTCCCGCATCAATCGAGCTCAAATTAGTGTAATTAATTGGACCCTTGAAATATAAAGCTTTCCCACAAAATCAACCTTGAAATTGCATTTGCATTTTTTTTGGAGTTATGGAGGAAAGCGAAATAAGAAAAGTGATTTTTCTCGAAAACGACTGAACCGAATTTATTGAAAAATATATATGTTGTAAATATTGTTTTTTAGGTAAGTTTAAGAAAATTTTTTGTAATTTTTCTGATTAAAAAAATATTAGGTGTTGGAATTAATTCGTAGCGTTTTACAAGTGATGGGAAGTACTTTCATTAATGTATTTTTTAATGCTCATGTGAAATAAATAACATTCTTTCATTAAAAAACGCTACGAATTAATTCCAACACCTAATAGTTAAAAATTTAAATTAAAAAAATAACTGTTTAAAAAATTTTCAAATTCTTTATGAATTTATTTTTGATAATATTTTTAGATACCACTTCTATATTTTGACGAAAAAGTCTTTAAATTGTTTACTTTGACATATATTTTTTCCAAATCGATCGGAGGGGTGAAACATAGTGAAAAACGACAATTATATTCATGCCGTCTTTTTAATATGAGTCCCCTCGCCTCTCGCGTTATCTAATCACATCGGGGTACTTTTTTAAATGTGAGTCTCCTCGCTCTATTCTCGCTCTCCTCACGTTATCTATTTAAGCGTGAGAGGCGAGGGGACTCGACATTAAAAAAACACTCCGATGTGAATAAATAATGTGAAAGGTGAGGAAACTCACATTAAAAAAGTACTCCGATGTGAATAAATAACGTAAGAGGCGAGGAAACTTACATTAAAAAAGCACTCCGATGTAAATAGATATCGTCTGCGTCGTATGCCGCAGTCACCCAGTCTACGCGGCATTACGTGAATAATTGTTATTTTTAACCATGTTCCATCCCTCCGATCGATTTGGAAAAAATATATGTTAAAGTATACAATTTAAAGATGTTTTCGTAAAAATATAGAAGTGATATCTAAAAAAAAAAATTTATGAAGAATTCGAAAATTTTTTAAACAGCTTTTTTTTTAATCACAAAAATTGCAAAAAATTTTCTTAAATTTACCTTAACAATGTTTACAACATATATATTTTTCAATAAATTCAGTTCAGTCGTTTTCGAGAAAAATCATTTTTCTTATTTCGCCTCCATAACTCCCAAAAAAATGCAATTTCAAGGCTGATTTTTGGGGGAAGTTTTATATCTCAAGGGTCCCAATTAATGATATTAATTTGATCCTCGATTGATGCGAGGACCGATTTCATATGCTTATTCCACTATTCCCTAGGTCTAACTATGAATATGGATATTAGTCTTCTTTTAAGGTTCATAATATCTCCGTAAATCGATAAGGATAAAATTTTTTTGTCAACGGAAAATCATTTCGGTCTTGAACAAAGAATATTATCATTCGCATAAAAATGTACCTATTATTTTATTTTTAGTAGATCTTTGACAATATATTTTCTTTCTAGAATGCACCAAGTTTCCTATGATGATGCTACTTAATCATCTGATGATCAAACTATACACTCGTCACGTTATCAATATGATGTTTGATAAAAAGCTATAGCAGTATGGAACTTATATATTAATATGATTATGTGTTGACAATTATAAATAATTATATGTATGTATTGTATTAGATGTTGGAATTAATTCGTAGCGTTTTACAAGTGATGGGAAGTACTTTCATTAATGTATTTTTTAATGCTCATGTGAAATAAATAACATTCTTTCATTAAAAAACGCTACGAATTAATTCCAACACCTAATACATAATTACAAGCGTGCATGATAAATGTGAATTTGTAAATATTGTCTCTTGTAGATAATATATGCATAAATAAGATTTTGTAAAATAGTACTGTAAATAAAATCATAAATAGGAAATAAACTATATGAGAAAGTAGTATATAATGATAATAAAACAGAAATGGTAATTATTTGTGCTGTAATTCTGTCTGACAGAACTAAAAAGAGGGACCGGACAAGCTCCGCGAAAACTCGTAAACGCCAATCAACTCTGAAGGAATAATAACCTTCTCAGATCAGACATAATCTAACGCCTGAGATCGCACGGTCCAGTCCCGGATCAAAAGGATTAAGTTCCTTAAAGTAGGACCGACGTTCGCACTGTCCCTCGAACAGGTGTCATAGCGTCCCTTCGGGACGTTGACTCATATTCTGGGACCGAAAAGGTGCGTGCGACTCACAATTCGTCTCTGTTAAGTCTAACCGTCCTTTCATATCCTCCCCATTTTCCCTCCTGTGTCTCCTTCACCGAATTTCTAAGGGTTTGAACGTAACAATAAGCATAAAGAATATCTTTAAAAATTTTCAAAATATTTCATTTATTTCTGATGAAGGCAATTGAGGTTCTACTGTATAATTTATAAAATTCAAATTAATCTATTGCAATACTTCAACATTTATTACAAACTTCTATACACTACTTAAAGTTACATTATCGGAGAAGAGAAGACGTCTTCTCATCAGGCATGGCACACATCACTTCATTCTATTTCATTACACTATTGCAGGATACAACACGCATGACATAAAACAGAGTTGGGATTTAGTTGCACATTTCGGCTGATTTTCAGTTTAGTTCCTGCCCTTTATTTCACCAATTAAATGCTGATTGGCATACGCGCAGGTTGATAAAGTAAGTGGCAGGAACCAAGCTGAAAATTGGCAACTAAATCCTAACTCTGACATAAAACAATACAGCACGTTCGTCCGACTTGTGTTGAGTTGCACAATAATCGAACTGCTAAAATGTGTTGAGATTAATGTTAATTCCGAATTCTGGTAATGTTAGCGTATGTCTAGTAAAGGTATTTATAGTTTGCAAACTCCATCTGCAAAATAATAAACAGATATTTATAATATAATTCTTATAGTCTACCAAACATTCTAATTTAATTGTAAAGTCGCGAATCTTGTAAAACAATTAAAAATTCTATTTTGTTTAACAAAAATGCGTTTAATTATACACTTGTTGTCAAATCATAATTAAATCATGTTTTTTATGCATTACTAAGAGAATAGGTCTGTTATATACCTGTATTATTATCATCACGAAAAACATACCTGGCAAATGAAATTATATCCAAAGCAGAATCCCATGCCAAATTTTACTTCTCTTAGTTTTATTTGCCATATAAATTGTAAAATCTAGTTGAAACAAATAAATAAGTGTAAGAGATATATACACTACCTTTCATTGAAAATTCGGATATTTATATAAATTCTATCGAATTCTGGCTGTTGTTTTTAGCTTTCATATGTGCAAACTGTAAATTAATCCATTTCTGTAGTTAACTTCGAAGTAAACACTTTTCATTAATGTATGTAATTAGTAAATGATAAATTAAATTTGACTCAAATGTACATTTTTTTAGTTAAATTATTTACCTTTATTGTTTTAGAATTAATGATATGTTGAGTAAGAGCAATGATAACCATAAAAAAATTAAAAATAATGTGAACTGTATACAGGGTCTGATAATTGTTCTGACGGAGTTTGTGGACATGTAGAGCGGACTAAACTGAGATAGAAAGTCCTTTATCATTTTGCAATTTTCGCAATAACCAAGATATTAATTGCTAAAAATTGCCGAAAATTGGTCTTCAATAATTTTTTACTTTATCAACTTTACAGAAGAACTGCAAGAGATAAAAATAGTTTATTTTCTTCTTATAGAGCTCTAAGAATTTTTTTAGAATTTTTTTAGAATTTTTTAATGTTATAATTTTTATATTTTCATAATTTTTTAATATACCGTATTTTCTTATGTTAATAAAAATAAGAAAATGCAGTACTAAAAAGTTGATAAAAAATTCTGAAAAAATTTGTGAAGTTCTATGAGAAGAAAATAAACAATTTTTATCTCTTGCAAAAAGTAAATGATTTTTGTCTGTTGCAGCTTTTCTATAAAGCTGATAGTATTTGAGTAAAAAATTATATAAGTTATAGTAACAAATTAATTTCCTAATATATTAATTAATACGGAAATATACAGGATAATTTTTAACATATTTTTAGTTTAATAGCTGTAAAAGAAAGAAATTTTATGTTTTGTCGTGGTTCATACATATTTATAGATTTGTTTTAGATGAAAAGTGAAATTAATAAAATGAAGTTAGTACGTTTCCTACAGAAAAAAGTTTGCTCTTTCACGTGGTAATGCCCTATTTTGAATAACTCTTCATTATCATTCCTGTTCAAGTGTTTAAAATCTTTAAAAATCACGTCATATTCAGGGGCCAATATCGCTTTTTGTTCTTAATAATTCTGTAGTACTATATAGCGACTTTAATCGTACGAAGCCGCATTCTGAAAGGTCCAGCCGTTTTCGAGATAAATTTCCAAAAACGTTAAATTCCCGATTTTCATGAATTTTGGCAGAAATACTTTAAATGAATACTCTTAAATGGATTGTTACGACAAGAAGGTTTAATGCCAAAAATGTTTAAGTAAAATTATATTATATATTATCTGAATGAATTATCTTTACATACAATAGCTCACTCTAATGCCTATATTCATGTTCAAGCCTTATATTTAAAGCTTCCTTAAATTTATCTTCAGATGCTTTACGAATTATTTCATTGGCTACTGAGCATCTAAAGATAAATTTAAGGAAGCCTTAAGTACAAAGTCTGACTATCAATACGGCCATAAATCACTTCCGAAAGTCTTTGATACTGATCGTGACCTCCAAGTAGATCTATCTCACTTTCGTGCGCTTCTAAACGTCAGGTTTAGGAGTACTTTGAGCACCCCTATATAGCGACGGGGAGGATCTAGCCGGCATGGAAACCGAGCGTACTGGTCTCTCGAGTTCGAAAAAGGATTCCGCGTCTCTCCTGGATCCGCTCGTGAAGTGAGAAGTGGACCGTCAGCTCGAGCGTATGAATAACTTTGCACCGGGGTCAGATAGTGTCTTATCATGATTTCCGTAGGGCAGATCCGGGAGCGCAGTTTCTCAGATTTATATAACATTTGCTTGCGGCTCGAGGCGGTCTCTTCGTCCTGAAAGACTTCCAACAATATCCTTGTTTACAAAAAAGAGATCGCGTTGGAGAACTGGCGCTCTCTCGCTTTGGGAGATATTGTCCCTAAGTTCTTCGCCGCGCTTTTGGCCGACCGATTGACTGCACACCAAGCTATCGATGGCGGAAATTCGGCGCTTTAGAAATTAATATCTCGATTGCAAAAATTGGAAAATAATTAAGAACTTTTCAAAAACTCAGTTTAATTCGTTCTAAAGCGTGCGCATATACTTATAGAAAAATGTTTTATATATATATATATATATATATATATATTATACATAAATATTACTTGTTTTAAGTAAATAATAAGTGTATTTTAAAATTATATTATCAAGAAAATATTTTTTGTTAAGATACACTGAGAATAAAGATTTGCTATGAACGCAAAGGGATTGCAAAATGTGTTTGTCAAATTTCTTTGCTGTTTATATTATATGTTCTATTTTCTTATTTTTAGAGATTAACAATTATGTTTAATAATTTGACTGGTTTAATAACATAACGAATATTTATATATTTTTTTAAATAGTTAACGAAAAACGAACTAATGTAATTTATTTTATTGATCTTTACTTTTATATTTTGTAATATTGATAATGACCCGATCGAAGTTGAAACGTATGCAATGATTATAACTATTATTTTGTTTATTATATGATGTTCTTTATTATTTATGTCGTTGGCTCTTTGCCCTTATTTTATTCTACATAACTTTATTTGTTAAGATTGTAACATCTGGGTTTTAATTTTTCATTTGATACATTAATTTTTTTTGAAGAGTAATAATTTTTGACAGAGAATTAACATTGCCATTACTTGGAATAAGAAAACTTTTAATAAGAATATCCTTGAAGAGACATTGCCATTACTTGGAATAAAATTATTAAAATTTTATATAAAATTTTGTAATTATTTACCTGTTTACGTAAGTCCTCATCCAAATTATAATTGGACAACTTATAAAGAATTGTTACTGTCTCGTTTATCTGAAATTATATTTATTATTTATACATACACAATGAACGTTTGTAGTAAATTGGAAAGTTTACACCCAATCAATGGATCATGTAATTTCAATGAAAATTCTCGCATAATTTCTTGTGATAACAAAAAATTGTTATCAGTACTGTAAGATAAGATTGCCGAAATCGCACCACTTTTCATTTAAAGGTTTATAATTCAGAAGAATATAATTATGAAGAATATTCTTAAGTTTTTACAGCATAATAAATTAATCTTTTCCCTTTCTTATGTAATTCTTTCATAACCTTTTTGCGCGGTTATAACATTTTAAATGAAGATTTTTTTTCAGTATGGTGCGATTTTAGCAACAAGGAAATTCATTGCCGAAATCATACCGTACTAATATTCATTATTTAAAACATTATAATGATGCAAGAAATTTAAAATTTACATAAAGAAAAGGAAAAAATCGCATTTTATTATGCTGTTAAAAGCTTAAGAATATAAACTTAAGATTTCGATTCCAACAATCTGTCAACATCTAATTGTTCTTTCTTTCGATCTAGTAATTCTCAAATTTTTAAGTCCATATC